TAGTCAACAAACTTTCACCCTAACTCACTCCACTAACACACAAGGCAAAGCCTTAAATCAGTTCATTATCCAGAATTACTCTTCCCATGAAACCTTAGACTCTAATGTCTTTCTGTCTTTTGCCATAGCCTTCTTTTCTTTTCATCTCTCATTCCGTGATCTTCTTTTGATCTTATCCAGTTCTCCAATCTTCTAACGTCTCTTTATGCAGGCCTCTGGATTACCCAATATCCCTTCCCAGCCTCCATTCCATAATTATCACATTCCAACCACCCTCACCAGCAGGCAAAATTTCCTCACCCGTTTGATCTCCCATTCCACTTACTCTCCTTCTGCTGACATGTGTATCAACCCAATTGTTGGGCTTCTGGTAGAGAGAGCCCTGGTAGAGAAATTGAGCCCTGGTAGAGAAAATCAATTAGCTGTCAAATGATACCTCAAAAATTTTGTGATCTCCAACCTCAACAGAACAAGATATTCTTGGCAAGCCTTCAATGTGCATCTACTCTCTTCTTTTCCCTTTCTCTGTAACAGCTCACTCACCACACCCCTGTCTTCTCTTTTGTTCTCAGCAGTTGATCTTGTCTTCTCCTTCAAAGACTTAAGAAGGACATGAGGTAGGATCTCAACATCTTGCCCTCCCATACTTATTCCCATCCTCTCTCTTCTTCATGACTTGGGTATCTCTTCTCCATCTAAACTCTGAATTCCCCTCATCTGGCATCTTAGGAACTTCCCTCTACCTCCCTCTCTGATTTTCAACCTCTCTCTGAACGTTTTCCCAAAGCTTCTCCCATCTTTTTAAAATACATTTTTATTGATTTCAGAGAGGAAGGGAGAGGGAGAGAGAAACATCAATGATGAGAGAGAATCATCGATCAGCTGCCTCCTGCACACCCCCTACTGGGGATTGAGCCCTCAACCCCGGACATGTGCCCCAACGGGGAATAGAACCGTGACCTCCTGGTTCATAGGTCAATGCTCAACCATTGAGCCACATTGGCTGGGCACCTCTCCCATCTCTAAAATACCTTCTGCTGCTCTAAATTCCCTTGTAACTACACCCACGTTTTTAAAAGTCTCTCTTTTGCCTCACTTCTTAATACACTGCAATCTGGCTCACATACACTGCTACAGAAATCACCCATGCCAAAGGCGCCAATTACATCTCTGTTGCTAAATACAAAATTCTTACCTTATTTAACTCCCTGAAAATTTGATGCTCTTTGATTATATTTTTCCTATATTGGCTACCCTTACAGTTTTCCTTTTACTTTTATGGTCTTTTCCTCCTAAATCCTCAATCATCAGGCTTTCTTCTTACCCTGCTGATAATTACCCTAGGAAACTTTATCCACTTCCATGGCCCCAGTTATGACTATATTTGATGATTCCTAAGTAAATCAGTCAAGACATTTGATACACACAACAATGATCTTTAAGCAGAAATAATCGAAAGAACATCCATGCCCATCCACCATAACTGCTAATATAACTTTTTTTTTTTTAATATATTTTTATTGATTTTTTACAGAGAGGAAGGGAGAGAGATAGTCAGAAACATCGATGAGAGAGAAACATCGACCAGCCGCCTCCTGCACATCCCCCACTGGGGATGTGCCCGCAACCCAGGTACATGCCCTTGACCGGAATCGAACCTGGGACCTTTCAGTCCGCAGGCCGACGCTCTATCCACTGAGCCAAACCGGTTTCGGCGCTGCTAGTGTAACTTTACTTTACTTACTCCTTGATCAAAATCCCTGGCAGGCCTGGCCAGTGTGGCTCAATGGTTGAGCATTGACCTATGAACCAAGATGTCACAGTTTGATTCCCATCAAGGCCCATGCCAGGCTGGCAGGCTCAATCCCCAGTAGGGAGCATGAAGGAGGCAACTGATCAAGATTCTCGTCAATGATGTTTCTATCTCTCCCTTCCTCTGTCTGAAATCAATGAAAACATATTTAAAAAGAAAATAAAGATATCCCTGGTGGAAATAACTGGGTGACTCTAGTTCATATACCTGGCTGGCTGCTAAGGGCCTGGGAGAGAGATCTGAAATTTTCAGGGAGAGGAAGGCTTTGCTTCTTGCCAAAATAAATACAATATGGAATTCCCCAAATCCTGGGTGTGTAGGGGGTGGGGAGGAATGCTACAGGAGCTTATCTATCTCTGTGCCTTGGCTTCCTTCTGCTGGAATCCCTGGCCTCTAGCTATCTCCCATATTCTCAGAGAGAGCTAAAATTCATTTCCTCAGGGCAGCTTTTGTGAACGTCCTCTTTCCACACCAGTCTGAGTTAAATAAGCTCCGGTGTGCTCCCATCATCCACTCTATATACCTCTGTCAGCGAACTTTTCTGTTTACTTGACTCTTTTTTTAAAATACATTTTTATTGATTTCAGAGAGGAAGGGAGAGAGAGAGAGAGAGATAGAAACATCCCTGATGAGAGAGAATCATGGATCAGCTGCCTCCTGCAAGTCCCCCACTGGGGAACGAGCCCACAACCCAGGCATGTGCCCTTGACTGGAATCGAACCTGGGACATTTCAGTTCGCAGGCCAATGCTCTATCCACTCAGCCAAACCGGCTAGAGCTACTTGACTCTTTACCTCCCTCTCTGAGACTATGGACTCTTCAAAGTGAGATGAGGGCCAAGAATCTCTAGCCTAGAAATCAGTTTGGGAGAAAGGATCAGCTGGGGTAAGATAACTTAGTGGATAGTTTCAGAAAGCTCAAGGTCGCTGAAAAGGGAAAGGAGACAGAAAATGGCTAAAAAGTAGAGTACCAATGACAAATGGCCTACTTTGACTTTGCCTAGAACTGAAAAGTCTCATCAATATTTGTTAAATCATTTCTAATGATTTCCTGGCATCTTATATAACAGATAGTGACTTTCCTTGACCTTATCATTAAGTTTTGGGTTTCTGTCTAAATTTAGGTTCAGTAGCAACCTTCTGTTTGGTTCTGAGTCCAGCTCAAATGCTACCTTGTCTAAGAAGTCTCCTGATTCCCCAAGTGGGTTTATTTTTCACTCTTTGAGAACAAGAACCAAGTCTATCTTTTTATCCTAACTCTGTCCCCAGGACCTGGCAAAATGCCTGGAACAGAGTAGGTAATGGATATTTATTTGACTGATAATCACTATGGGAAGCAGAAGAGATGTGTTTTTTATAAAGTGGGGGGAGGGGAACAGGGTAAATTATAAAGTCTCCAAAGTCCTTTAGTGATCCCCGGTTTGGGTCACAGCTACTGCCTCTCTTGTTATGCTAAGTGGAAGTACTATGGGATTGCTACCCAATCTTCTATTCCTGACGTACTCTGCTACTGCTCCCCTAACCCCTACCTGTACCCCAACATCTGCATAGTTAGTAAAATGTGTATAGGTGGGTTAATTAGATGATATATAAATTATATCTCAATAAAGCTGTGACATTTTTTTAAATGCTGTATAAACTCTTTTCTTCAAGAAACCCATCCTACCCAAAGTTGCTATCAGAACTGGAGTTGTCAGTGAGGAAAAGAAATTTTTTTTTTTCCTTGTCTCAGTGTGTAATTTCCATCCTTGAAGCCTAGGGACAATAGTGTTAGGGGCAGAAATAGACTAGTGGGGCCCTAACCAGTTTGGCTCAGTGGATAGAGCGTCGGCTTGAGAACTGAAGGGTCCCAGGTTCGATTCCGGTCAAGGGCATGTACCTTGGTTGCGGGCACATCCCCAGTAGGGGGTGTGCAGGAGGCAACTGATCAATGTTTCTCTCTCATCGATGTTTCTAACTCTCTATCCCTCTCCCTTCCTCTCTGTAAAAAATCAATTAAAAAATGTATTTTAAAAAAAGAAATAGACTAGTGGGGACTAGCTATAGTTGCAAGAAATATTAATCATGCTCTGTTAACCGTGATTGTTTTGTTCTGATTAAAGAAAGCACATTCTGACCTGGCTGGGCATTGTATTCCCCGCTTCCTCCCCGCCCTCCACTCCCATCCCCCACCCCCACCCCCGCCAACCGAGCAAACCTGCCTGCATTACCTGTAATCTGGAACCATTTTACCCATTCTTATTCCTCTTGCCTACTTCGCCATGCCTGTCATACCCATTTGTATTCCTTTTGCATACCCATTCTTATTCTCACTTCCCCATGTAATCTTTGTCCTTCTACCCAATAGAAGCAGCTGGCTTATGGGGGGAGAGGGTAAGAAGGGGAGGCAGGATGGCCTGCTGCTTTCCCATGCTGCCAGCATTATTGGAATAAACGCTCAGACATGATTCAACCCTGTCTCTGCTTAATTGGCTCAAGTAGCGACAGGCAGCCCTGACCTACTAGTTGTCCAGTTTCAAAGGGACTTTGCCTTACACAAACAGGGAGACAGAACTACGGATGGATGATGGCGATACTATTTGTCAAGACCTGTAATAGAGAGACAATTGGTATAGTGGAGCTGAGAAGGCTAAAAGGCTAATTCCAATGTAACCCTGATATTTGGGGGGTTAGCAATCTGAATCTGTGCCAGCAACTTAATGTACATTCTTGATAACTTATATTTAAGTCACTGCCCCTTTCTCCAGAATCTGGTCTTGCAAGACCTGTTACCTAAATGCTCACATTTTACAGAGGCCATAAACCATGAACCATACACAATCCCTGGAGGGGGTTATCAGCGCTGGCGCCAGGCCCTTAGATATGATCTCAAAACCCCCATCTCAACCCACGGGGCTTTTTGCAAAGCCCGCAAAAGGTCCAGAAGTCCCCATCCATATTTGGGGGACAAAGAAACCAAAAGGAGATAAAGGAAGGGCTTCCACCATATTGGTTTCCTCAGACTTTGGAGGCAACTCCTCTGAGACCGCCGGCATAATAAAGCTGTGTAATTCCATTTCTCTAAGCGTTGCTTGGGTTTCTTCGGTCTTCTACAACAGAGCAAGCACAGATTTTGAAGCCAGATGGCCCTGGGTTTGAGTACAAGCTCAGCTACTACTGGCCTCCACTTCCTCTTTTATCATTTGTAGACAGTGATGATGAACCATAGGACTGTTGAAGAATTCAAAAGAAATACAGTGATGATGAACCATAGGACTGTTGAAGAATTCAAAAGAAATGCTGTCATCAAAGAATCTATCACAGTGGACAAGGCCTTGCACAGCAGTAAGGACTTCTCACACCTCAGTAAGCACAAAAGTCACCTGGGGATCCTGTTAAGCTGCAGATTCTGATTCAGTAACTCTGCGGTGGGCCCTGAGATTCTGCATATCTAACAAGCTCCCAGGTGATGTCTCTCCTGTTGGTTGAGGGCCACAGTTTAGCAAAATTATGATGTGCCAATGGAGTGTAGAGGAGAAGGCAGGAAATTAATTCTTCAGGAGAAAGAAGTCTAGACCTTGACTTTGCAAAAAGTGGGAGGTGACTTGGGAAATAACAAGGAATGTGGTGAATAGCCACCAGACTGGGAAGATGAATTGTAAATGATCTTAAACTTGATCATAATGAGTTTTAATTTTAGCCTGAACCAGTGGTTCTTAAAACGTGGTCCTTGATCAGCATCATCCCCAAAGTTGTTAAAAATGCACATTTTAGGACCTACCCCCAGACCTACTGAATCAGAAACTCTGAAGGAGGAATCCAGCAATCTGTGTTTGAACAAGTCCTTCAGGTAATGCTAATGAACTGTAACATTTGAGAACCACAGGTCTTAGGCAATGGAGGGTGGGGGCACTGGGAGGTGTTTTAAATAGTAGAGGGAAGCGATCAGATCAGTGTTGTAGAAAGGTGACCCCTGTCCTAGGAGGCAGGTAGCATGACCAATTAGGAAGAAAGGGCAGGAAACCAGGAGTCATACAGGAATGTGCTTGTCTGCAAATAACAGAAAGCCTGAACTCAAGGTGTTTAAACAAATGAGTGATATTTTTCTTACACAGCAAGTTGGCAGTCCAGGCCTGGTACTAAGGCTCCAAACTGTCCTCAAACACCCAGGCTCCGGCTTCCCTCTGCCCTACCATGTTGGCTCGTGATCTCATGGCCAAAGGATGGATGCTGTTTCTTCAGGTATCACATCCAAATTCAAGGTAGAAAAAAGGGGACTGAGGGGCAAAGGCAGGACTAGTTATAACCCTCCACTTCCTTTGGGAGACTCTTTTTTATTCATTGAACTTGTGGTTTCATTTTCTTGAGCCACATGGTCACTCCTGGCTGCAAGGGAGGGTAGGAGATGGAGTGTTTAACTTTCCATCTTCTGTAGAAGGTAGAGGAAGAAGGGTTGGAAAAGGATGTGAAGTCTGCCAAGCTGACGTGTATGCCACGTCTTCTTATAACTAATGTTACAAGAAGAGAGATGGGATGGTTGAAAGCAGGAGAGGAGAGGCACAGCTTATCTTATGTTATTGCATAAATAAGTCCTTTATACAAAAATATTAATGTCACCCTAGCCAGTTTGGCTCAGTGGATAGAGAGTCAGCCTGCAGCCTAAAGGTTCCTGGGTTCGATTCCGATCCAACTGTGGGCTTGATCCCCAGTGGGGGCGTGCAGGAGGCAGCCAATCAATGATTTTCTCTAATCATTGGTATTTTTTAAAATATATTTTATTGATTCTTTTTACAGAGAGGAAGGGAGATGGATAGAGTCAGAAACATTGATGAGAGAGAAACACCAATCAGCTGCCTCTTGCATGCCCCCTACTGGGGATATGCCCGCAACCAAGGTACATGCTCTTGATTGTAATCGAACCTGGGACCCTTCAGTCCGCAAGTTGACACTCTATCCACTGAGCCAAACCAGTCAGGGCATCATTGGTATTTCTATCTCTCCCTCTCCCTTCCTCTCTGAAGTCAATAAAAAAATATTTTAAAAAATATGTATATACATAAATGTCAACATTGTACAAGCAGTATACAATTAAAGTTCAAAAAACATTTTCCCCAGCTATCATACCCCTTATTTTTATTTGTTTTACTTTAAAACTGATTGCCTGAATTTGGGGCCCTGGAGGTCCAAAGCCATTCTACACAGAAACTGTGACTTCTTTTTTTTTTTAATGCATTTTATTGATTTTTTACAGAGAGAAAGGGAGAGGGATAGGGAGTCAGAAACATCGATGACAAAGAAACATTGATCAGCCGCCTCCTGCACACCCCCACAGGGGATGTGCCCGCAACCAAGGTACATGCCCTTGACCGGAATCGAACCTGAGACCCTTCAGTCCGCAGGCCGACGCTCTATCCACTGTGCCAAACCGGCTAGGGCAAAACTGTGACTTCTTAATCTTATGTACAATGAATAGTAAATAAAGCAGCAGGGAAAATTACCTGACAGTTTCCCCTCCTTTTGTTCCTTTTATAATAAAAACAATTCTTCTCCTAGCACATTTATGACTATTCTGGCATTATTGCTGCTCAGCTGGGGAACAGCAAACCTGGATGGGTTTACTCTGAATATCTGAATAAGACATTTTACAAGCATAGAAGGAGAAACATAATGGTCATACAAAGTATGAGTTTGGAGATGTTTGGAGAAAATAAAAGTTATTATACATGTGGCATGTCTTACTGCCAAGGTCAATTTATAGAAGACTAGAGGCTTGGTGAATGAAATTCATGCACTGAAAGAGGCGGGGGGGGGGGGGGGGTGTCCCCTCAGCCTGGTTTGTGCTCTCTTGCAGTCTGGGAGCCCTCAGGGAATATCCGACTGATGGCTTAGGCCGTCAATCAGACATCCTTAGCACTGCCACAGAGGGAGGGGAGGCTCCTGCCACTGCCTCTGCACTCGCCAGTGGTGAGCCTGGCTTCTGGTGGAGCATTGCTCTCCCTGTGGGAGCACACTGACCACCAGGGAGCAGCTCCTGCATTAAGCGTGGTGGTCAGTGCACGTCATAGAGACCGGTTGTTCTGCCATTTGTTCTATTTGCATATTAACCTTTTATTATAAAGGATTATTCATCCCAATTAAAATCCTCTGTTTACTTACATTTGAGGAATCTGAGGATTGACTACAGGGGCAAAGTCCCACAATTTGCCATTGGGTGGCCCATTGTGAGGATAGAATAGGATTTCTAACATCAGGGTCAATAGGATAGCACTCTGGTCAGTAATTGATTTTTGAAACCTGGTATATGCAACATTGTTTGTTTTGGCTCAGTTTAGGCCACCAGAGATCTTTTATTTGGGAAAGAAGGCTATTTATAGCCAGGAATGTACTTCTTGATTAAGGGCATGGGGGTGGGGGGCAGTTCTGGAACAGAAGGGCCATCAATGAGGAAGCCAGGAAGAGATCACAATAAAACCTAGCAGAGGATAATACAAGTAAATACCATCATGGAAATTAAAGGCTATAAGAAATTCTGTCAGCAAATAAATAAGCTCAGTACTAGTGCTGTTGTTTATCTTTCATAACAGAGAACTGTAGTGTGGAAGTCCAATTTAAAAATAATTAGGGGGTGGGAGTCCCGGGGAGAGGTCAATAGGGGAAAAAGGAGACATATGTAATACTTTATTTTTATTTATTTTAAATCCTCACCTGAAGATATTTTTCTATTGATTTTTAGAGAGAATGGAAGAGAGAAGGAAAGACAGAGAGAAATATCGATGCAAGAGAAACACATTGATTGGTTGCCTCCTGCATGCACCCCGACCAGGGTCCAGGCTGGGGAGGAGCCTGCAACCGAGGTATGTGCCCTTGACTGGAATCGAACCCGGGACCCTTCAGTCCACAGGCTGACGCTCTATCCACTGAGGCAAATTGGCTAGGGCAACAAATGTAATACTTTAAACAATAAAGAATTAAAGAAAAAATAAAACTACCATCATCTGAAAAAAATAAATAAATAAATACAATTAAATGAAGATATCTCAGTACTGGATTAGCTGGGCACCTAAAAGCTGATTACATATGTAAGGAAATGTAACCAAATTAAAATAAAACGTCTTCAGTTTTTAAAAATTTGACCCACAAGTTTAAGTAGAACTGGTTTTGTATGCTCCCCTTTTCACATTGTCTATGTTCCATCAGAAACAACTCACATTACAACTGATGTTTTATATTTATTTTACCTTACCTTTACAAGTAATTTCAGACATTTTGAGCCTATGCCCAGAGGCCTCTTTTTAAAAATATTTTTAACAACTTTATTAATTCATGTGTTTGTTATGAATATTCCAGGACAAATTTTGTGTGTACATATGGTTTTGCCTCTCCGGGTATCTGCCTAGGACTTAATTAACTGCTGGGTCATATGGTAACTCTGTGGAACTGCTAGGCTATTTGCCAAAGCGGCTACACCCTCTTACATTCCCACCAGCAATGTGTGAGAGGTCCAGTTTCTCCACATATAGAGGCTTCGTTTTTATATGAAACTGTGGACAGAAAAAAAAGGTGTTCTATGGAAAGTAACCTCACAGGGTGATCTGATCATAAATTCCTAACTGGGCAGGTCATGGTGGGTAGTCATGGCCCAGGCATATAACTTCTGTAGTGAAAGGTTTTAAGCCCCCAGGTGTGCATCTAGGTTAACACCCCTTTGAAATATCAGAAGTAATATCCCTCGAAGGAGGTATTAACCCTCAAGAGCACACATAATCTTGTTCACAACCCTGTAATCCAATCCCCACTTTGCTTTCTCCCACCTTCCTTGCACCCTCTTTTAAATTTCAAATGTATAAAAGAAACTGCAAAACTGTTATTCTGAGGAGCATTTGAGATCTTGCTACCCAGCATATGTCATCAGTTTGGCTCAAATAAACTCATTAAGAATTTTCTACAGGTTTGCCCTGACCCGTGTGGCTCATTTGATTGAGTGTAGTCCCATACACTGCTTCTATTCCTGGTTGAGGTGCCCCAGTTGCTGTTTCTCTTTCACATGGCGGGGCAGCCGATGGATATTTCTCTTTCACATTGCTGTTTCTCTCCCTCTCCCTTTCTCTCTCTTTAAAAAATCAATTTAAAAAAGTAAAATAAAATTCTCACCAGGCCAGCATGGCTCAGTGGTTGAGAATCGACCTATGGACTAGGAAGTCATGGGTTTGATTCCTGGTCAGGGCACATGCCCAGGTTGTGGGGTGTGCAGGAGGCAGCTGATCAATGATTCTCTCTTATCATTAATCTTTCTCTCTTTCCCTCTCCCTTCCTCTCTGAAATCAATAAAAAATATATATTTTTAAAAATTCTCTATATGTTTGAATGTTTCTTATATCAGCAAAACAAACAGAGAACTCAACCAGTTCCAGCCATGGAAAGTTTCCTTTCAGGGAAAATATCTTTTTTTAAAAATGAATGGAAACATGTCTTGCATCATCTCCCCCATTCCCAAAGTCTGTGTTCCTTGGTGACTGTACAATCCACAGGAGGAGAAGCATAATACATGGCTTCTTTGTGGTTAAGGTAGGGTCCAATAAGATCTACCAGGGTGGAATATTGAAACATGGGGTTCAGGGTACAGACTTTTCTTCTCATGGGTTCTTGTCCTCACAAAGTTTAAAGAATAAACTCACACACCAAAAGGCTTCTTTAATAAAAAATATAGAAGTTTATTGGAAGTAGATACAAACTCCATCTGGGCAGGGGTGTCCCCAAAGGGGACCCCAGGGAAAGGGGCCTCCCAATGGGAAAAGCGTTCTCTCTCTCTCTCTCTCTCTAATGGGAAAATTTAAAAAATCCTGCCTCATGTCCCTTTGTCTCCAGTTTATGTATGCTGCAGTTCTTTGTTTGAACCTGACCCATTTCTTATTGGTCCCTTTCCTTAATTTGGGACCCCCATGTTTTCCTCATTGGTCATTCTCCTACATAGAATTAGTTTTCAAAGCTCAGAGCCCATGTGGTGCCCTCCTCTTTCTCCCCACCTTATTTTGCTGGTTGGAGTTGGCCTTTGAGCTCCCAGCTGCTCAGGCCAGAGATACCCCTGTCCTTGGCTTATGGCTGTTTTAATTGCTCAGGCCCCAGAGATACCCCTGTCTGTCTTTGGTGTATAGCCGTTTTAATTGCTCAGGCCAGAGATACCCCTGTCTGTCTTTGGTTTATAGCCGTTTCAATTGCTTAGGCCGGAAATGTTTCCATTTGCCTGGACCCTCTCTTCCTGTGGCATTTCTCTATCCTCTGTATAAAATAAGCACCCTTGCGTCTTTAATCCTCCATCTATGCATTCCTCCCCAATGGGCCCTTCTTATTCCCTAAACCTTGCTAATTAAGCTAGCTAGCTAACCCTTTCAATATGGTTTTACCAAAATCCAAATAGGCCTAACAAACGTTTGGTTTCTTGTTTGGACCTGGCTGGGGACAATCATTTATTTTTAACTATCCGAATGTAATTCCCGGGCACTAATTTAAGTTTGCTTGAGGCTGTAAATAAGTGAGACTCTCATTTTACAGGTCTAATTAGTATCTGCATCCTGGTAGGGGAACCTCATTACCTTAAGGGCTCCA